AAACCACGGCAGCTTATTGTAGAATACTACCTACACTGGACCACAACGTTTGAAATATCTTTTTCAGGTAGTTCAGACACAAACTACGACAGCTTATTGTAGAATACTACCTACACTGGACCACAACGTTTGAGATATCTTTTTCAGGTAGTTCAGACACAAACCACGACAGCTTATTGTAGAATACTACCTACACTGGACCACAACGTTTGAGATATCTTTTTCAGGTAGTTCAGACACAAACCACGACAGCTTATTGTAGAATACTACCTACACTGGACCACCACGTTCGAGATATCTTTTTCAGGTAGTTCAGACACAAACCACGACAGCTTATTGTAGAATACTACCTACACTGGACCACAACGTTTGAGATATATTTCTCAGGTAGTTCAGACCAATCAGACAGAAACCACGACAGCTTGTTGTAGAATACTTCCTTTTGAGTTGGTTCTGATAAAAACAAAAGCAGTTTATTGTAGAATACCACCTACACTGGTCACTGGACCCTATTAAACATTTGAGATATTATAAAAAACCATTGATGTACAATACCATGCTTATAAAGCGATAACAAACCAACCTCCAACCATGTAGGTATCTTATGCCTCCGACCCTCCGCAAATCCGCTTTCCGTGACCGCAAGATAGCTCTTTCCTCCGCAGAGGCTTACATGAAGTTTCTTGGAAAAAGTGAATTAAGGAGGCTCTGCGGAGGAGGAGCCTCGGGAAGAACCGGATGGAAAGGGAATCCAAGAAGTGTTTGTTTGTGTTTCGAAAACCGCATAAACAAAGAGTTTTAAATCAATTTACGACATGAAGAAACCTGGGAAGGAAAAGCCTGCACGAATGGTACAATCTCCACCAAAGAAGACAACTGTCCAACGTTTGTACGACCCACCCGAGTCTTCAGGCCGTACTGAGTGCGAGGAAACGCAGAAATCTGGTATGTATGTCAGTATCTGTGTTGTCGATTGTGTAAGCTTTGTGCAACAATCAACGTGTGAGAGTAATATTGATTCTTTTCATTACATGCAGTAGTCTTGTATTTTGTGATTAATCAACAGAATTGAGTGATTTGCTTTCTTCCATATTGAAAGTGACAACTGAAGTTGATTGCAAATTAATTAGTTCATTAAAACTATAGTTCCAACTATCAACAATGGATGTATAAACATTTAGGCATATTGCGCAATGACAATGTGACTTTAGCCGTTGCTTTTTGCTTTGTTTCTGCTTTTGTACTGCTAAGAATGGACAATTAACAGGCGAAAAGTCTTCCAACCATAACTGAAATTTTTTGCTGTTATTATACTTGGTCATGAAAATGGTCATAAAGATCAAGTCACAGTCTTTCTCAACAGCCGAAATACATGATAATATATAGAGAATATCTATGCTTTAAAATGTGGTTTACAGGTAATGAGAAAGATTGTAACTTTATCTTTTATGATCGTTACAACCATATATACGGAAACCATAGATATCTTGCTTAAAACTGTTGCATGCAACATGCTTGCAACTTGAATTGTACTTGAATTGGAGATGTGTTTAGCTGCATGATCAGATTAAAACATATCAAAATGCCTAACTTAAGAGATATGGGATGTTTCAATTAATATTAACTGCAACTGTTAATCCATTGGGGCTGGTTATAGGCAAGCCAACCTGAGTACCCAAGCTGGCCTGGTTTAGGCAAAATGTCATTATTATTTCCCAATGAAACCGGTGGTTTGTTTTGGTGAGCCGGGCCACTCCGCCTTGAAAGTCTCCTGCGTATAAACACATGAGTCATAGCATAGCGGGCTACCTCTGAAATTACCCGGGCTAGCTTGATCGCTTTCATATAAACAGCCCCCATGCAAATGACTGTATTTTTCTCAATTTTTAGAATCCAACCCTATACCCATACAATCAATTGGAAATCTTCTTGGGACTATCAGCCAAACACCTGAGGCAGATATTTTCAAGGCTAATTTTGGTAACTAAGTTATTCTATTTTTCTTTTTAATGTTTAATTGTGAGCTCAGCCTTATATAACCAATGTATTTGGGGTTATTCTTTATCAACCTCGTACCCAGGTTCTCAATCTTTGCTCCTACCTTGCTTGAATTGAGACCCTGACCAGTATTGGCTGGTCACGTGACCCATCATATTTTGGCGGATTTGCTCAATTGTTTGAGGGAAAGTATAGTATACAAGTAGATATTGTAGTAAACATTAATATTGTTAAAATAACATTACAAAAGAAAACATATCAGTTACTATCCTTTCCCTAAAAACAAATTAGCAAATCCACCAAAATATGACAGGTCACATGACCAGCCGATACCAGAGTTTCAATTCAAGCGTGATAGGAGCGAAAGATATAGAACCTAATAGTTACGGGAACCACTGAGTATTTTTATAAAATACAAAAGGACAGTAACTCCAAATAACATTTTGTTGCTTTAATGAATCTACGTTTCGACTATATTTTAGTCATCGTCAGGACAGATTAGTGTAATGTTACAAATACTGATACATATATATATATATATATATATATATATATATATATATATATATATATATATATATATATATATATATATATATATATATATATATATATCAGTATTTGTGACATTACACTAATCTGTCCTGATGAGTCGAAACGTAGATTCATTAAAGCTACAAAATGTTATTTGGAATTACTGTCCTTTTGTATTATATAGAACCTGGATACGAGGTTGAATTTATGTGTTTGAATTACTAAAAAATGTTAGTGTTGGTGCATGGTGCAGTGGTTTGTCATTCAGGCCTTAAAATATCAGTCAGTTACGGACACTGTCCAACCCATTCATGAAATTCTCTGACGTAGAGAGGAAACCAAATGATGGACATTCTGTCTGACCTACATGAAACTGAGGTTTGACCTACATGAAATTGAGCTTTATTCTTTGTTTGGCCCGACCTAACTGTAACCTTTTTCAACGTAAATCAAAATGTACCCTAGTCCAGGACTAGAGGCTCATATGTTAAATGGAGAATCCGAGTAATGTATAAAAAGTGAACTGCAGATGTGTATATATATACAGTAAGTGCAGGATTTTCACCTTAGGAAATTCATTGCGAAGATTCAAATGACTTTTCCAAATTCTGTTGATATTAATGATATTTATTTCCAACCAAACTGCATGAACCCAAAGTCATCAGGCATCCATCAGACATCACAATACATATATCTGACTCAAAGTCATCAGACATCCATCAGACATCACAATACATATGTCTGACCCAAACATCACAATACATATGTCTGACTCAAAGTCATCAGACATCCATCAGACATCACAATACATATATCTGACTCAAAGTCATCAGACATCACAATACATATATCTGACTCAAAGTCATCAGACATCACAATACATATATCTGACTCAAAGTCATCAGACATCCATCAGACATCACAATACATATGTCTGACCCAAAGTCATCAGACATCACAATACATATGTCTGACTCAAAGTCATCAGGCATCCATCAGACATCACAATACATATATCTGACTCAAAGTCATCAGCATCCATCAGCAATACATATTCGCCACCAAAACGACTCAAAGTCATCAGCATCCATCAGACATCACAATACATATTCTGAATATTCTGACTCAAAGTCATCAGACATCACAATACATATGTCTGACTCAAAGTCATCAGCATCATCAGACATCACAATACATATATCTGACTCAAAGTCATCAGACATCCATCAGACATCACAATACATATGTCTGACTCAAAGTCATCAGACATCCATCAGACATCACAATACATATGTCTGACTCAAAGTCATCAGACATCACAATACATATATCTGACTCAAAGTCATCAGACATCACAATACATATGTCTGACTCAAAGTCATCAGACATCACAATACATATGTCTGACTCAAAGTCATCAGACATCACAATACATATGTCTGACTCAAAGTCATTGAACATTTTGTCAGACGGTTGTCTGACCGATATTTTAAGGACTGGTCATTACATGCACTTTTCAACTCTATTGAGTTGAATTCTAGTAATAAGCAGTTGTCTGATTAAATGCTTTGATATGTGATTTGGCTCGATCTTTCACATTCTACACTGAACTGATAATAATGATTTGGATCGATAAGAGATGACCTTTACTGCATGGACCTCTAGGGAGAACAGTTTAGAACTGATAGAACTATCCATCAAACTGGACCTCTAGGAAGAACTGTTTCGAATTGATAGAGCTATCCAGTATAAAGAAAGTTAGTTTAATTAGGTTTCCTCCTGTAGTAACACTGGATCAATAAGAGATGATCCTTACTGGACTTCTAGGAAGAACTGTTCAGAACTGATAGACAAGCTATATCCAGTATAAATAAAGTTAGTTTAATTTAGGTTTCCTCTTGTAGTAACACTATAGATCAATAAGAGATGATCCTTACTGGACCTCTAGGAAGAACTGTTTCGAATTGATAGAGCTATCCAGTATAAAGAAAGTTAGTTTAATTTAGATTTCCTCCTGTAGTAACACTGGATCAATAAGAGATGATCCTTACTGGACCTCTAGGAAGAACTGTTTAGAACTGATAGACGAGCTATATCCAGTATAAATAAAGTTAGTTTAATTTAGGTTTCCTCCTGTAGTAACACCATGCAGATCAATACAAGATGATATTGCTGGACCTTGTAAAAATAGTGAATGTGTGTATTCAGAGAAGTTTGATCTCGGGAGAAATGACATAGACAAACATGCTGAGTGGTATAAACATATGTTTGATGAAAATGACCTCAAAGATAATCTGGAAGTCAAAGTCAGTGATAAAGATGGGAATGTCCTGTGGTGTATTGATTTGAATGAAATACTCTGTGTAAGTGTCAAGATCGACTACCATGAATTAAACTAACTTTATTTATACTGGATAGCTCTATCAGTTCTAAACTGTTTTTTCTAGAAGTCCAGTAAGGATCATCTTTATTGATCCAGTGTTACTATACAGGAGAATTTAAAACCTATAAACTATACTAACTTTATTTACTGTAGCTGGATAGCTTTATCAGTTCTAAAATGTTCTCCCAGAGTCTGGAAGGGCCAGTGATTGATTCAGCACTTTGAGAAAACCTAGCTGAGGTGTTTGGTTGAGTCTGTATATAACTACTCACAATTAGGCTTAAATGATGACAAAATATTTTTATTTAAGGATGAGGTCAAGGATGAGGTCGAAGGACCAGTTGAACCACGGGTTGAACAACGTATCAATACCAAACCAGGTGAGAAGTTGACTCAATTTCGGTTTTAGTTGCAAACAAACAAACTACTAGTACACACGTAAAAATCTCACAACTTGTCAACAAGATGTGTTCACAACCGACTTGTAGAAAATTTGTCAACAAGTTGTAACAATGCTGTTATTTTATCAAGTTGCTACAAGCTTGTCACTTACAACTTGTTAACAAATTGTTGTAGATAAAAATTTCAAAGCCCATCTAATCTTGCTAAATTTATTTCATGACCCACCCACCCAATCTAAATTGCATGGGAAAATACAATTTTATAATAAAAAGGTATGAACTTTGTAAATGCACACAACTGTATTGACATACATAATTCCATTAAGCTTGACCAACACATTTATTACCAATTACGATACTGAGCTGCTCTCCAGCTGGTTGTATTTGCTGTGATTCGACCACTTCTTGTTGTTGTATAAAACAAAGTACTGGCTTCAATAGCATCATTTGCATTTGATAATTTGGATAGTTTTGTTTACTTTTATTATTAATATCTTTATGTAATATATAACTAACATGGGGTTTTGTTTGGTGGCCCAACCATGGACATACCAAAAAATTGGCGGCCCATCGAAACTGCCCAAAGATTTTCCATGGCACATCCCAAGTCACTCCAGCCCACCCTAGCAGTTACTTTGTGACCAGTCCCTAATTGTACAATGAGTATTAATTATTAAAAACTGTGTCTTTGTATAAGAGACTTGAAATTAGACAAGGTCCCTGCCTTTTTAATTCGATCTGGAAGATTGTTATAAAGCAGTGATCCCGAGTATATAAAAGATCTCTTGCCCAGACTAAGATTTGGTTTAGGTAAGTGCAAATCATCTTTCCTTCTAGTATTATAAGAATGAATATTTGAATTCCTTACAAAATATCCACTTAAATATTTTGGGACTAAATTGTTCGAACATTTAAATACTAAAACACACTTGTGAATTTGTCTACGAGTAGATAAATCTACCCAATTTAAAATGTCAAACGTATTTCTGGAGCTTTCTCGTTGTAATATTCGTGCTGCACGGTTTTGCAGTTTTTGGAGGCTTTGAGAACACTCAGCAGGCAGCTCGGACCATACAGCATCAGTGTAGTCAAAAATAGATTGCACCACTGAATTGTAAGCACATTTAGATGCCTCAATTGTCAAGCAAGACCGTATTCGCGAAAGTAGACTTAATCGCTTGCTAACTTTGTTGAGATCTCTTCCGTATGTTCTTTCCATGATATTTGTTCCTCTAGCATTACGCCTAAGTAACTAAACTTTGGCAATCTTTGAACTAGTTTGCCTTGTAGTTGGATGGTAAAGTCTCCAAAACGACCAAGTTTTTGTTTTGTTCCAAAAAGCATAACCTTAGTTTTGCTGTAATTTAAAACAAGTCTACTAGACGTCATCCATTTTGCAACACGATCTAAATCATTTTGAAGGGTTTCCATTATCTCATTGGTATCAGAACTAGAAAAATAAATTCTTCTAGCAAGCTTGTGAACGTTGTGACAGTGCTGTAATGGTTTATTTTTATCAAGTTGTTGCAAGGTTGCCAATTGAACATTTGGAACAACTTGTAACAAATGTGTTGAGTCTTGTAACAAGTCTGCTGCAAATTTGTGACACCTGGCAACAAATTGAGATACGTTTGAGATATCTTTTTCAGGTAGTTCAGACACAAACCACGACAGCTTATTGTAGAATACTACCTGCACTGGACCACCAAATTGGAGATACAGTCGAACCCCTAGTCAGATTTGAGATACAGTCAGACACCTTCGGGACTTCGCCTAAGTGTCCGCTTAAAAGGGGTGTCCGCTTAAAAGGGGTATGTAGAAAAACACAGCAGGAGGCAAAGATGTGTAATTAGTTTGAAACAAGTCTTAGCAGGCAACTTTCTGCATGCTTGCATTCTGGAAATTATGAAATACTCACTTGAGAACATTTTCTCCTTATTAATATTTTAAATGCTTTCTTAAATTTGTCTATAATTTTTTCTTCAGATCAGTATTTTGGAGTATCTTGAGGAAACAAGACCTGAGCCACCATTATGACAAACAATTCATTGTGCCAATTTCTACTTGCAGCAGGCTGCCCATTGAGATAATTCTCATTCATCTAACTACATCCCAAACTAATTTTTAGATTCGTCAAATTGTGTTTGCGATTGCATCAGATATCCAGCCAGTTCAGGTCAGGATGACCTCGACATGCTTACATATCTAAATCATTCTGAGTATTTTCTCGTGAGCTCACAAATCAGTTAAATCATTTCAAGAAAACGTAGAAGTTCCGCTAATCGCTATTCGAAAAGCAGAAAATGTATGGTCAAGCAGATTGTTTTAGGGTGGTGCTGGACTTCTCTGGGGGGTACTAGACACTACTAGGTGGGGTACGCAACCCCCTGCACCCCACGCTAGATCCGCCCCTGTTTAGTCCGCGTCAGCAATTAAAAGTTACAGGGCGGACGATTGTGGTGAACCTCAGGAATGTTGACTCTTACAGGAGAACGCAAATTTAACTACATCTCGCAAAGCCCCGAACAGACGAGCTATTTTTCCCTGAGTAGTTTCATTTGCTCGCGTGTACGGCAAAACCTGACGATTTTTCCTTGTCAAAGAAGCTTTGTTCCAGAGCTGGACATGCCAGCTTTGAAAATTTGTTTGTTCGTGTGTACGGCCGCCAGGAAACTTGCCAAATGTACAAGAAATACTGTATGGTTTTGGAAAACAAAAGGCGGTCATGACGTCAGATAAACAGGGTTCGTACGAGACTTGAATGTCCTTGAATTTGAAAACAAAAATTCAAGGCCTTGAAGGTCCTTGAATAGACCTTTCCCCTTATGAGTGAAATTTTGATCTAGACAAGTCATAGATCTAGCCTGGACAAAAATTTCATCACAGCTTGAAAGAGCATCACAAAATTAGTAATATTCCAAAGTTTCGTTGCGAAATGTTGTAAAATGCGGATAATATGGCCTTGCGAAGTTTGCCGTTTTTCAGTCATTTTGTATTACGCACGGAAAATTGATAATCAGATGATCAAACTGATTATCAATTTCCCATTTGACATTTGTAATACAAAATGACTGAAAAACGGCAAACTTCGCAAGGCCATATTATCCGCATTTTACTGACAACATTTCGCAACGAAACTTCGGAATATTACTAATTTTGTGATGCTCTTTCAAGCTGTGATGAAATTTTTGTCCAGACTTGTCTAGATCAAAATTTCACTCAAAAGCCAGGGGAAAAGTCTATTTGTACTTGAAAGTTCTTAGATTTTTCTTGCTTTAGTTTTTGGATATTTTCTGAAATTGTTTGATATTCAAAACGGACATTTTGTTGAATTGATTTTGCATGTGTTCATATCTGACAAAGCTGTTTAAAACTCCTTTTTAATAAAGTTGCGTTTTGAACAATTGAACGTCAGATTTTACTGATTTCTAACCCCCTTTTCCCCCAGTAAATATTTAGTTCTTAATTGAATTTGCTGATACTGTACATGGCCTTGAATGTCCTTGAAATATTCTTGAATTCACTCATTCTCACATGTACGAACCCTGGATAATAGTTACTTAAAAAGTAATTAAAAAAATAAAATAAAATAAAACAAAATAGTCCGGCAATTTCTAATTGTAATCTCGACTAATCTGCAACTAAATTCCTCACTAAGAGCCTTCGGTCGAAATATCGAAGTATTTTAATCTTTTTTTCAGGTACAGTATACACGTAAAAATCTCACAACTTGTCAACAAGATGTGTTCGCAACAGGTTTGTAGCAAGCTTGTCAACAAGTTGTAACAATGCTGTTATTTTATCAAGTTGCTACAAGGTTGTCACTCACAACTTGTTGAGAAATTGTTGAATTGCAGGACGATAACTAGTTGTTGGAACAACTTGTAATAAGTATGTTGAGCTCAACAACCTTGTAGCAAGTTGTCAACAAGCTGGGAACAAGCAGTGCGAACACATCCTGTTGACAAGTTGTTGGAACAGCATTGCTACAAGTCTGCTGCAGGTTTGTTACAACTTGGGCATTTTTACGTGTGCAGTTCAGACACAAACCACGGCATCTTATGACTTATTGTAGAATACTACCTACACTCGTAAAATACACAAGTTGTTACAATTCTGCAAACAAGTTGTTACAAATCTGTTCACAAGCTGTCGACAAATTGTGCTTGTTCCCAGTTGTTGTAAAAAGTTTGGAACAAGCTGTTAACAACTTGTAACAAGCTTGATGGCATTATCAGACTTGCTACAAGATTGTTCTAACAAGTCTGATACAGTCATGACATAACAAGAATGTTACAAGGTTGACGACACAAGATTTTAACAGCTTGTTCTAAACTTGTTGACAACTTGGGACAAGCAGTGCGAACACAACTTGTTGACGGCTTGTTGGCAGCCTTGCTACAAGATGTGAGATTTGTGCGTGTGTACACTAGACCACCACGTTTGAGATTCAGACACAAACCACGTTGCCGTGGAGTTTGACATTTTTTATGACAAAAATCTTAACTTCGTCTTTCATTATTTAACAAACTTGGACGATAAGATCGATTATATATGCACACTAATAACTTTGGCTAAAATTTTAGGTGGATGTTGCATTTATAGTTCTAGCAGTTCTAAACTTTTTTCGTTATATATTTCGTCCACTATTGTTCTTGTATTACTACAGGAACTAGAGTAATTTTATTTGAGCTACGTTATGTAAATCTGAGGATAAATTTATTTTTATTGCACGCTTTTGAATCTAAACGTGTACCACCACTAAGTTTGGGAAAGTTTGGTGTCGTTTTAATACAATATGCAAATTTTGTGAAAACATAGGGCGTGAGAAAATTCGCTTTATTGGTTTTTGAAATTAATTTTTGACCGTATATTATAATGTACATATTTGCCATCTATTTCATTTGATTGTATGTTATAATGTACGAAGAATTTCATGGATTAATCATTTAATCCACTTCCTAATTTTGTTTAAATTGAATATCAGTTCTAAACTGTTCTTCCTCGAGGTCTAATAAGGATCTCTTGTTGCTTCAGTGTTGATAACAAACCAGAGTACAACGTAAAAACGCACAAGTTGTAACAAACCTGCAGCAGACTTGTAGCAATGCAGCCAACGCTGTTCCAACAACTTGTCAACAAGATGCGTTCGAACTGTTTGTTCCCAGCTTGTTGACAACTTGCTACAAGGTTGTTGAGCTCAACAAACTTGTTACAAGTTGTTCCAACAACTTGTTATCGTCCTGCAATTCAACAATTTGTCAACAAGTTGTGAGTGACAACCTTGTAGCTAAACAAATGTTGCAAGGTTGATGACACTATTGTTATATCATGACTGTATCGGACTTGTTGGAACAGCCTTGTAACAAGTCTGATAATACCAACAAAGTTGTTACAAGTTGTTAACAGCTTGTTTCAAACTTGTTGACAACTTGGGACAAGCACACAACTTGTTGACGGCTTGTTGGCAGACTTGCTACAAGATGTGAGATTTTTCCGTGTGTAACACAAGCTCAACTATACCCTTTCCGTTCCTATCCTGCTGAGTGTTTTCCTGGGTGCAAACTGGCCTTTTTATATTATTAAAGATCTAATGAAGAATTATCATGTTCGTTTTGTAAGGGCTGCTGTAATTGGCGTAAGCTGTAGCATAATAGGAAATATGCTTTCTGTAATATTTTCTAGATCGTTTGAATTTGCGTTCGACCTGGCTCGTACGGCCAAGAAGGAAAAACTACCAGATATTCATCTCAAGCACGCCATGTTCCTGGAGGATGAAGGAAAGTTTCCGGAGGCAGAGAGAGAATTTATTAAAGCGAACAAAGCAAAAGAAGCTGTGCTTATGTAAGTTGAAGAAATAACCTAGCCAGCAGCCACTTATCTAACAAATCCGTCTGGATAGGGCAACTGTTGAATTCAATAGGCAATTCCAGTTATAGACTAAATTTTGATCTAGGCTAGAAGAACAAAATCCATCACCACAGCTAGAAAGAGCATGTTAAAATTAGTAAAATTGCAAAGTTTGGTTGCGAAATGTTGTAAAATGCGGAAAATATAGCCAAGCGAAATTTGCAAATTTTGTATTAATTTGTATTACGCGCGGGAAAATGCACCATATTTGGGCCGAAAGTGGTGCATTTTCCCGTGCGTAATACAAATTAATACAAAATTTGCAAATTTCATAGGGCTATATTTTCCTCATTTTACAACATTTCGCAACCAAACTTTGCAATTTTACTAATTTTAACATGCTCTTTCTAGCTGTGGTGATGGATTTTGTTCTTCTTGCCTAGATCAAAATTTAGTCTATAGCTAGAACAATCCATTATAGCCAGAATATTTTTATGAGAAGATCTTTTTAAATCTGTCAAAGTTAAAATGATATCCGAACACTCTTTATGTTGCTTTCCCTCAGGCATGTCCACAATCAAGACTGGGATAGTGCTCAGCGCGTCGCTGAAGATCACGATCCAGACAGCGTTGCTGACGTGCTGGTTGGCCAGGCGCGTGTTGCGTTCGAGAAGAAAGACTTCCAGCGTGCTGAAACGTGTTTACTCCGTGCTCAACGACCCGAGCTGGCTGCGAGATATTACAAGGTGTGTAAGTGCTTGTTAATATTATCAGGCTTGTTACAAGGTTGTTCCAACAAGTCCGATACAGTCATGATATGCAGTATTGTTACAAGTTGTCAACAAGTTTGGAACAAGCTGTTAACAATTTGTAACAACCTTGTTAATATTATGATAACAGACTTGTTACAAGGTTGTTACAACTAGTCCGATACAGTCATGATATAGCAGTATTGTTACAACCTTGTGTCGACAACCTTGTAACATTCTTGTTTATCATGACTGTATCAGACTTGTTAGAACAACCTTGTAACAAGTCTAATAATGCCGTCAAGCTTGTTACAAGTTGTTATAACAACTTGCTCCAAACTTGTTACAACAACTGGGAACAAGCAGTGCGAAGACAATTTGTTGACAGCTTGTGAACAGATTTGTAACAACTTGTTTCTGGTCCGGCTCATATGAACAGCCCCTAATTGATAAAATGCACTTGAATCGTAATAAATAACCTGATTGTCTACTTTAGTATAAATTTCTGAATAGCAGGACATTTTCAATTTTCTAGGAAGCTGGAATGTGGACTGATGCTTTAAGAGTGGTGAAAGAATATCTTCCACATAAGGTTAGTGGAAAAATAATCTTGCTATACTTTAAGTTATTTAACAAGGAGTGTTCCTCCCCTCCTCCTCCCACACACCCTTAGATCGCCGAGATCATTGTGTTTCTCTTAGTGAAACTCTATTGATATTCTTTAGATTTCTCAATGGCAAGACGAATACGAACGGGAATCTTTGAAAAAGGGCAACAGGTAAGGATGAAAATGAGTTACAATAGACCTATATAAACAAGCTTTCGTTCCCAGGGATGCAACTACCTGAAAAATATAAGGAGAATTTCGAATTCATTTGAATTTATCCTTATATTTTTCAGCTAGTTGTATCCCTACCAAAGAAAGCTTGTTCATATTATTGGCCCTACCTACACTGTCACAGACAGTTCCAATAGATTCTTTGTACGTTTGCATGGCGATAAAACATATAATAGTTTTGTTTGTGGAAACACCACGTAAATTTATTACTGCAAAGCTTTCGATCCGTAAGCCCGGATCTTCATCAGTATACATATTATTAGCACTGATGAAGATCTGGGCTTACGGATCGAAAGCTTTGCAGTAATAAATTTACGTGGTGTTTCCACAATTAAAACTATTATAAGTTACAATAGACCTTCCAGTTCACATGCACCATTGAATAACTCGCGTGCCAGTTGGCCCAGATATCATGATAATGCAGGAATAGAATGGAACAAGGCTTTCAAGCATTTAAATTGTATTTGCGCGAATTTGATACTTCGTGAAAGAATGCACCGTTAGGGTCATTCAATGCATGACTAACTGTATATGTTGGCCTTTCTTTCCGAAGTGGCGCGGACGGTATCCTTGCTCAAGCCAGAGATTGGGAGATAAAAGGCGAACATTCTCGTGCAATTGATATGTACCTCAAGGTCACTCCAAACAGTTCAGACAATACAGATGCCATGGCTGTCATCAGACATCACAATACATATATCTGACTCAAAGTCATCAGACATC